CACTAGAGGTTCTGGATACACAATCTTGATAAATGAAACTATAATTCAACACTAGATAACTCTTTTATATGAAATTTCGTCTCACCTCTTTCAGAAAACTTGACTATCCTTTCTAACTCGTACATTTTTCTTGTAATTCAAAAAAGTATTTGATTCTCAAATTTTAAAGGGAGATCATCACATCAAATCATTAAGGCAATCGGGAATGACTTACATTAAATGTCACAGAAAATAACAGGTTAAAAAAAGCAGTTAATTTGACGACGGAAATGGTCCAGATACCTTTCCTTTAGTTCCAGCAACATGGATAATCTTAAGGCCTGCTATCTCTTCTTCCAAGCCCAAAATCTGCGACAGAAATGCAATATATATCACGTCCACTTTTTTTTTTCAAAATATATTTTAAGACCAAAATTCTTGTAATTTGAAAGATACGAAATTCAAAACTTCTAACTGCCATCATATAATCAACAGTACTTTTCATTTATCTTTCTTTTCAATGGATTACAAATTCATTACTAGAATGTTTTGACTTATAATCACTCCGTTAATTAATTATAAGATCACTATGACTATACTGCACATTCTGGAAACAGCAAACAAAAGTTACACCGATAACACCAATTTCAATTAGTTTGTGGCATAAACAGATAGGAAGACCGGTACCACCAAGATGCACATTTATCACGCAACTCTTAAAGGCGAAAAAGTCTAAGCTAGAAATGGCACTACCTTAATGTACCTCAACATTCTGTCCAGTTTCTGGCTTTGACCACTAATGGCTGGTATGCCATTTCGTTTTTTCTGAGTAATGAGAGTCGAAAGAGCTTCCATGGCAGATTCATATGCGGATGGAAGCTGGAACTCTTGTGAGATATCTTGACTATTTTGACTGAACTTTCCCACTATCCGAGATGACATATTCCTATATCTGAGTCCTTCAGGGACATAAAGCCAAAATATTAGCTTTAAATTCAAGTTAAATTTTTCTCCACTGCAGTGAAGAAACTACTAATTATTAACTAATATCATCCTAAGAAGAGTTTAAGTAAAAGACATATCCAGTGATTGACATAACCCAATTGTACAGCTAACAATTGTTTATACATTCAGCAAATACGAAAATTTGCAACCCCGAGAACAATCACAATGCAAATGCAAATATCAAAAGCGCTAAAGATGTTTCCTTTCTAAAAAATGAAAGACACACTGTTTACTTAAAAGACGTGACTGCAGCTTGACAACCAAAGTCAAAAAAAAATGTCAAATGGCAATTCAAAGCAACCAAGAACTTGTCCATACTTCCAACTAACTTTCAAGAAAGGATGTTTACATCATTTCAACTCTTGGACCCTCATAGTTTATCATACCCACTAACTAAATCTTTTAGAAGCAAAGTATATAGCATATAACCAGTGACGATTCAAAAAGATACTAAAATGTCACATGTAGGATTTAAACCTATGACCTAAAGCAACTTTTGTACCCCCTTTTGCCACTACCCGGAATTGTTAAGGGGATTAAACATTTTATATATAACCAACAAAACTAGTTTTTCCCCGCTATTTAAAGGGCAGCCCGGTGCACTAAGCTCCCACTATGTGTGGCGTACACCATGTGCGGCGTACAGGGAAGGGCCGGACCACAAGAGTCTATTGTACGCAGTCTTACCCTGCTTTTTTGCAAGAGGATGTTTCCACGGCTCGAACGAGTGACCTTCTGGTCATATGGCAGCAGCTTTACTAGTTATGCCAAGGCTCCTCTTCAACAGCATTACCTTTTTCCCCGCTATTTATACAGTAATTTTTCGACTAAGGGAATTCAATTAAACCCCTTGCCTGAACTTAGCTACGCCCCTAGTCCAAATAAAGGGGACGATAACGAGCTTAAAACTAGTCAGTTAATGACTAAACGAATCCAAATAAAGCAAAATCAATATATAATCGATCTCAACTAGTTTAATAAAGCAAAATCAATATATAATCGATCTCAACTAGTTTAATAATTGTTGTAACATTTAATGTAAATATGTAATAAAGGGGGCTAAGAAAAATTGTACTACCTTGCAGCTTTTTTACACCATCAGTGTGTGTACAAGAAGGTGAATTTGGACCCATCCAAGTAATTAATCCACTGAGGAAATGGTCTCTTCTGCTAGCATTAATTTTAGAATGACCCATAATTTCTTGACCAAAATAAAGATTGTTGAACAATAATATCATTTGGGATTATTTATTTTTCACTGATTAAACCCCTATGACATTGAGGAAATTCTGAAGCTATGGTGGTGCAGAATTGTAGATGACCAAAGAGAAGATGCGAAACACTACGTGAAAAAAAATTATAAAAGGGGGAAAAGTTTTAAATTTATCCGTACCTGTCTGATTTTGCATCTGTACCTCATTTTGGAGGTCACAATTAAACCTATATCCATTTTGAAAAATAATTTGCAACTCTATATCGGGTCTGAAGTTTAAAAAAAAAATAGTTTAAAGTGAAAAATTACAAGTGAAAAATTACATATTTCAGATGCACTTAAGGCCAAATAGGTCTCAAGTACAACCAATGGTTTCATGCACTTAAGGCCAATAAGTTTGAAGTAAAAAATTACACTTTAAATGCACTTAAGGCTAAAAGGTCTAAAGTGCAACAAATATTTTCCTACACTTAAGGTCAATAAGTCTCAAGTGAAAAATTACACTTCAGATGCACTTGAGGCAAGATCCTAAGTGCAATCTGCCTAGAGATAGAAATTTGTTCTTCGAATTTTAAAAATCCAATATACGATTTTACCTAAATCTACTGTAAATGAGCTCAAATTTGAGACAACCTCCAAATATCATCAAGAACAAGCATCAATCATCAATTTGTCAATACAACAATAAATCTAACGAACTCGTTTTGCAATTAAGAAAGAGAAAATGAAGAAACCCTAAGCAATTGTAAAAAATAAAGCGCCACAATAGCTCACCACTATAAAACATCATAAACTGCCTTAAAATATGTTCACAAACACCATATAAAATCATTGTTACTTGAAGAAGAAGAAGAAATTTGAGAAAAAGGCCTAAAGTTGTTTAAATAGTGGGTACAAGTTTAAAAAAATTAAAAAGTGGGTACGGGTTAAATCGGGGCGACCAATAGAGCGTCCCGTGCAATTTTTACGTTTAAAGTTGAGCAACTTTATTGTCCATTTGATTTTAAATTTATCCGTACCTATTTATTCATTTTGCATTGGCCCATAGCATAACTAATATAAGGATAATTTTGAATCTTGCCCCATTGGGACGACGTCTGGGGTATATGATGATGTGCATTGCGGCTTTAGTTTTGGAGTTAGAAACGGGGGAGGAACTTCACTGTTGGATTTTGCTAAAGCGTTCGATTTGGTGATAACTAACTCGAGTTTTCCGAAGAAGGTGGAGCACTTGGTCACTTTCCAAAGTTCGGTGGCCAAAGACCCAGATTGATTATCTACTCCTCAGGAAGTCCAATAAAGATCTTTGCACGGACTGAGAGATCATCCTGTGTGAGAACCTTATGATCCAACATAGGCTCATGGACCTTGAGATCACGAGAAAGACGGTTGTGTATGGTCATCCTAAGATCAAGGGAGCCGTGACTGAGGACAACACTCAAGATTTGGGGTTAAGCTTCTGGCTATGGAGGCTTGGAGGAGTAGTGGGGACACGAGTATTATATCGACAACGATTGCATTAAGGCAGCTTTTAGAGAGGTATTAGGGGTCCCGAAGATACTCGGGTGGTCACTAAGGGGACTAATGGTGGAATAGATAGGTCCAAGAAAAATTAGAAACCAAGAAAGCAGTATATTTGAAGTTATTGGAGAGCATTGACGAGGAAGAAAATAGGAAGAATAGGGATTGGTATAAGATGGTTAAGAAGGAGACAAAGTTAGCAGTTATGGCGGCTAAGACTACATCATTTGGTCGTTTGTATGAAGAAATTGAAGGCAAGGGGAGGGGAGGGGAGAAAAAGTTGTTCAGGCTAGCTAAGGTGAGAGAAAGGAAGGTCCGTGACCTGGACCAAGTGAAGTGCATCAAGGACGGAGATGTAAGAGTTTTGTTGGATGAGGCACATATTCGTCAGAGATGGCAGACTTACTTCCATATACTCTTGAACGAAGAGGGGGACAGGAACATTGTGTTGGGTGATTTGGAACACTCCAAGAGTTGTCAAGACTTTAGGTATTGTATACGTATTAAAGTTGAGGAGGTTGAGGAGGCTATGCATAGAATGAGCTGGGGTAGAGTGATCGAGCTAGACGAAATCCCGGTGGAATTTTGAAGAGCACGGATAGGGTAGGCTTGGAGTGGCTCACAGAGTTATTTAATGTCATTTTTGATGAAAAAGATGTTCGAGGAGTGGAAGTGGAGTACGACGATCCACTTGTACAAAAGAAGAGGTGATATCCAAAGCTGTAATAACTATCAGGGTATCAAGCTGCTAAGCCATACTATGGAAGGTTGAAAGAGGGTGGTGGAGGTGAGGGTGAGATGGAATGTGTCTATTCTCGGTAACCAATTCAGATTTATGTTGGGGCGTTCAACCTACGAAAGTCATTCACCTTATTAGGAAATCAATGGAGCAGTACAAGGAGAGGAAAATGGACTTGCATATGGTATTCATCGACTTAGAAAAGGCTTACGATAAAGTGCCGCGGGAGATTCTCTGGATATGTTTGGAGGCTATGAGGGTACATATTGCATACATTAGAGCGATTAAGGATATATACAAATGGAGCTAAGACCCGGGTGAAGATAGTGGGAGGGACTTGGATCACTTTCCAGTTGTGATAGGGTCGCACCAAGGGTCAGCCCTCGGCCCTTTTTAATTTACCTTGGCAATGGACGCACTGACGCATCACATTCAAGGGAAGGTATCGTGTGCATATTATTTGTAGATGACATTATACTGACTGACGAGACGCGAGGCGGTGTTAACGTGAGGTTAGAGGTTTGGAGTTGTGGAGTCTAAAAGTTTAAAGTTGAGCAGGACCAAAGATAGAATACTTGGAGTGCAAGTTCGTGGTGCGACTCATGAAGCGGACGGGGATGTGAGACTGGATTCACAAGTCATCTCTAGGAAAGGAAGTTTCAAGTGCCTCGGGTCAGTTATACAGGAGAATTGAGAGATTTACGAGGATGTCACACATCGTATTAGGGCGATATGGATGAAACGTAGGCTTGCTTCCGGTGTTTAGTGTGACAAGAAGGTGCCACCAAAACTCAAAGGTAAGTTCTACTGAGCGGTGATTAGACCGACTATGTGTGTATGGGGCTGAGTGTTAGGCAGTCAAGATCTCACATGTCTAGAAGATGATGGTAGCAGAAATAAGGATGTTGAGATGGGTGTGCAGGCATACTAGAACTGATAGAATTAGGAATTAAGTTATTCGGGATAAGGTGGGTGTAGCATCTGTAGAAGAGTAAATGCAGTAGCAAGACTTAGATGGTTCAGACATGTGAAGAGGAGAGACGCAGATGTGCTAGTGAGCAGGTGTGAGAGGTTGGCCTTAGAGGGCCTAAGGAGAGGTAGGGGCAGGCCGAAGAAGTATTGCGGCAAGGTAATTAGAGCTCCAGCTTACCGACATAACCCTTGATAGGAAGGTTTGGAAGTCGAGGATTAGGGTAAAAGGTTAGGTATTCGAGTTGTTTCCTTGTTCATACTAGTAGTATTGGTACGTACTTTCGTATTTTTTAGTCTTAGGTTTCTATTATTGCATGTTGTTTCAGTCATCTTACTATCTCGCTGTTATTAATACTTATTTTCCATGGCTCCTCATTGTTGTTTTACTGTTTTTCTTTTCATTATTGTTGTGCCTATGCTTTATTGAGCCGATGGTCTATTGGAAACAATCTCTCTATCTCCACGAGGTAAGGATAAGATCTGCGTATATACTACCGTCCCCAGATCCCACTATGCGGTATTACTTGAAATAGGACAATTTTACTATTGAGTGAACTTCACGTATTCAAAAATTTATAGCCCTAATACGTTAAATATCGAAAATCGTGCTGAATTCCTATTTTATGGCCCTAAAATGCCAAAAAATGAGCAACAATCATGGCTAGACAATGACCATGGCTCATTAGGTCGTTTGTGATGGGCCCAAGAAATTTTAGGCGGTTCAGGGTCGAATGCCTGAATTCATGAATATGGTGTGGACATTAGCACACAAAAAATGAAAATCATGTTAAATTCTTGTTTTATGGTCCTAAAATGTAAAAAATGAGGAACAGTCATGGCGAAGCAATGGTTATGGTTCATTAGGTCGTTTCTGATGGGCCCAAACAATTTTACACGATTCTGGCCGGTCGCCCGAATTCATGAAGATCGTGTGGACATTAACACACGAAAAATCAAAAATCATGCTGAATTCCTGTTTTATGGCCCTAGAATGCCAAAAACAAGGAACGATCATGACGAGGTAATGACTATGGTTCGTTAGGTAAGTTTCTGATGGGTTCACAAAATTTTAGCCGATTCAAGGCGGTCGTCCAAATTCATGAAGATGGCAGGGACATTAGTATACGAAAAATCGACAATCATGTTGAATTCCTATTTATTGCCCTAAAACGCCAAAAATCGAGTAAAGAAAATGGTGAAACAATGACTATTGTTCATTAGGTTATTTCTGATGGGGTGACAAAATTTTAGGCGATTCGGAACCGATCGCTTGAATTCATGAAGATATCGTAGACATTAACCCACGAAAAATCGCAAATCTGCTAAATCTTGTTTTATGGCCCTAAATGACAAAAAATGAGGAACGGTCATGGCGAGACAATGACTATAGATCATTAGGTCATTTCTGATAGCCCATAAAATTTTAGGCGATTCGGAGCCGGTTGCCCAAATTCATGAAGATTAGCGCACGAAAAATTGAAAGTCATACTGAATTCCTGTTTTATGGACCTAAAATGCCAAAAAATGAGGAATGGTTATGGAAAGACAATGATTATGGTTTATTAGGTCATTTCTGATGGGCCACAAAATTTTAGGCGATTCAGAACCGATCGCTTGAATTCATGAAGATACCGTGGACATTAGCATACGAAAAATCGCGAATCGTGCTTAATTCTTGTTTTATGGACCCAAACGCCAAAAGACGAGGAGCGGTCGTTGTGAGGCAATGACTATAGATCATTAGGTCATTTCTGATGGGCCCATAAAATTTTAGGTGATTCGGAACTGGTTTTCCAAATTCATGAAGATGGCGTGGACTAATGCACACGAAAAATTGAAAGTCGTACTGAATTCCTATTTGATGGACCTAAAACGCCAAAAAATGAGAAATAATCATGGAATGACAACAACTATATGATGGAAGCACAAAAGTTTAGGCAATTTAAGGTCGGTCGCCTAAATTCATGAAGATGGCATAAATACTAGCGCACGAAAAAAAGAAAATCGTACTGAGTTCTGATTTTATGGACCTAAAATGCTAAAAATGATGAATAGTCATTAGGTCGTTTCTAATGAGCCCACAAAATTTTAGGCGCTTCGAGGCCGGTCGCCCGAGTTCATGAAGATGGCGTGGACATTAGCACACGAAAAATCGACAACTATGCAGAATTCCTATTTTATGGCCTTAAAACATCAAAAAGGAGGAATAATAATGGCGAAGTAATGACTATGGTTTATTAGGTCGTTTCTTATGGGCCTACAAAATTTTAGGCCGTTCGAGGCCGATCGCTCGAATTCATGAGAATGGCGTGGACATTAGCACACGAAAAATCAAAAATCGTGTTGAATTCCTATTTTATGGTCCTGAAACATCAGAAAATGAGGAACCATCATGGTGAAGCAATGACTAAGTTTCATTAGGTCGTTTCTGATGGGCCCAAAAAGTTTTAGGCGATTCGAAGCCGGTTGCCCGAATTATGAAGATGGCGTGGACATTAGCACACGAAAAATAAAAAATCGTACCGAATTCATGTTTTATGGCCCTGAAAGGCCAAAAAATAAGGAATAATGATGGTGAAGTAATGGCTGTGTTTTTTTTGGTAATTAATTCTTTCATTTACCAGGGAAAATATTTACAAAGTAAATCAAACCCTTACATACTTACTTATCAAACTAACTTCTCCCTGCACCACCTATTTATCATATACATATATTACATTGGATACCAATTTAAATTCTGCAAAATTTTCTCTACTCTCTTGTTGCTACGACGGTATATCTCTTGAGTAATCAGCTTGCAAACTGTCTCTCATCCTCTTGTCTTGTTCTTAAAGATTCGACCATTTCTTTCCTGCCACACATAGTAAATTGCAGCTGCCAACACCATTTTGTATAATTCAGCTGTTGCACTTTTCCTTTTGGCCCATTTCTCAGCCTATTTTAGCTCCTAATCCCATCCTTGTACTGGTCTGTCAATGCCTTGCCATGCTAAGAGTTTGCTCCACAGTGCTTTTGCATATGGACATTCAAAGAACAAATGTTGTATGGTTTCCTTATCATTGTTGCATAATGTACAATCTTGATCAACTGATATTCCCCATCTTTGCAATCTATCCTTTGTGTATAGTCTTCCATGTGCAGTCATAGTTAGCACAAAATTCCATCTGGGACACCCTCCATTGTGGCAAACTACTTTCCTCCAACTTACTTTCTCAAACGTACCTCGCAGCCTGTGGTAAATTTGTTTGATAGAGCAACTATTCATGTTTGTGATATCATCATGGCTAAAACCTGCAAACATCATAGTCTTCTGTGCCTTCATGATCTTACCTACCATCCATGAATTTGCTTTAACTGTATTGTCCAGATGTTCCCTCCTCTTATGTAATAGCCATGTACCCACCGTATCCACAACTTCTTTTTCTCCTTACATAAATTCCAAAATTGCTTACATATAGCAGCTTTATTCCAGATTGCTATGTTCATGACATTAAAACCACCTGCTGACTTTGGCATACATATTTTCTCCCATGCTAATCTGCACATTGCCTCAACTATTTTTGTAATCTTCTTTGGCAGAACAAAGATTTGGGCCCAGTATGTTTGGATGGAGAACAGGACACTTTTTACGAGTTGAATCCTTCCTGCATAAGACAAGAACTTGGCAGTCCATGAAGTAATTCTTCCCATTATCTTATCAATGAGCGGTTGGCATTGTGTTATGGAGATTCTTTTGGAACTCAATGGTGCACCAAGTTATCTGACTGGTAGAGCACCTCTCTGAATTCCTATAAATTCTAGGATCTCCTCCTGCTCTTCATGTGTGACTCCTCCAAAGAACATTGAGCTTTTGTTTTTATTAATCGTCAGTCCAGATGCCTTTGAGAACTCCATAAAGCATTGGAATAATAGTTTGACTGATCCAATGTCTCCCCTGCAAAACAATAAGAGATCGTCAGCAAAACCAAGTTGTAAGATTTGCATCTTAGCACACTTGGGTGGAAGTTGAAGTTTGGGATCTCAGCCAGCTTCTTTAGTTTCCTTGTTAAATATTCCATGGCAAGCACAAATAGAAAGGGTGAAAGGGGATCTCCTTGTCTCAATCCCTTCCTAGCATCAAATGGCTTAGTTAGTGCACCATTTATCATGATTGTATATGTAACAGTTCTCATACATGTCATGATCCATCTTACAAACTGTTCTGGAAAAGCTAATGCATGTAATATCTGCTCCATAAAGTCCCATTCTATTGAGTCATAGGCTTTTTGCATATCCAGCTTCATCATACATCTAGGTGATACCCCTTTCCTCCCATATCCTTTCACAAGTTCATGGCTCAGAATAATATTATCTGTGATTACTCTGCCAGGAACAAAAGCTGCCTGTGAACTGTCAATCAGAAAGTCCATTACACTTTGTAGCCTCTTGGTAAGGATCATTGATATCACTTTGTACAAGACTGTACAACATGAGATGGGCCTATAATCTTTGATACTTACAGGATTCCTTACTTTAGGGATTAAGGAAATGGCAGTGCAATTGATAGGCCTAAACATTTGGTTTGACTCAAAAAACTCTTGTACAGCCTTTATCACATCCTGACCAATGATTTGCCAGGATTTCTTGAAGAAAAAAGCATTTAACCCATAATATCCAGGAGCTTTAAGATCATTAATATCCGTCATTGCTTCCCATATCTCTTCATTGGACACTTGCTTGATAAACAGCAATTGATGTTCCCTACTCAATACTGGTCCCATTTTCATATCATTTGGATTAATAGCTGGAAGACTTTCTGCACTTGAACCCAATAACTTCTTGTAGTACCCCATGATTTCTGCCTCAATATCATCTTCCAACACTAGCTGGACCCCCATGTCATTAGTTAGAAATTGAATTCCATTCAAATTACTTCTATTCTTCATAAGAAGTAGGCTGAGTTTGAATCTCCCAGCCTTAGCCATTGCACTCTTGATCTTTGTCTATATATGTTTTCCTCAATCAGTATCCATTTTTCTAGATCATCCTTTAGTGTTTTTTCCTTCTCAATTAGGTCTTGTCTCTGTAGCTTAGAACTCATTTCTTCCTGAGTTGACCGGAGCTCCTTCCTGATTCTTTTTGTTCTCTCATCTACTCCTTTGTAATGCTTTGTGTTGATCTCTTTAATAACCTCCTTTACCCTCTTCAGCTTGTTCCATACTAGTTGCATCATACCACCAGTACTCCTTTCTTCCCAAGCTTGATCCACTTTCTGTAGGAATTGGTGATGGTCAGCTATACAATTTAAGAATCTGAATGGTCTACTCTTCCTCCCCTGCACTTGTGATATCATTAGTTTTAATGGTGAGTGATCAGACACTAGTGGCTCTAGTACCTGCACTTTCATATTAGGCATCATCATCATCCAATCTGCATTTACCAGACCCCTATCTATTCTACTGTAAGTGTGATTATTAGTCCATGTATAGTTCCTTCCCACATACCGTAGTTCATGCATTCCTGTATCAAGCAAAAACTCCTTAAAATCTCTTGTTTCTATATCTTGTACCTCAGTACCATGCTGTCTATCCTGTGTCCGAAGGATAGCATTATAGTCCCCCATTGCTAGCCAGGGTCCCTGTTGTATGCTATGTATTTGTATCAACTTCCTCCACAAGCTTAGCCTATCTTTTATAGTATGTAGCCCATATATTGCTGAGAAGCCAAATGTGATTGCCTTTGATAAGATACTAATCTGCCCATGTACCAACTGCTCATCAACCTCTTCCGGATCAAATTTATAAATTCTAGGATCCCATAGTACTCATATTCTACTTTTATTGTTTGGACTAGCATTTGATATCTATTGCCAACCATGTGCTATTTTTTAATTATATCATTTGCTCTATGCTTCTTTACTCTATGTTCAACCAATGATATTATAGCTTTATTATTACTTCTTATGAACTCCTCACCTCTTTTTGCTTATATGTTTTATTCAAACCCCTAATATTCCAAGTTATCACACTCATATTGGTATAAAAAGAGGTTTATAATACATCTCTTGTTCCCTTAGACTGCTCATTTGCATTTTGCTTGTACCCGGTACATCACAGTTGATGCTGTTGTGCAAGCTTTGAACCTCTTGTTTTCCTGCAGCTCCCTGCTCTTCATTTTGTTTGGCCTTAGATGCCCTTGCTGCTGATTTTCCAAGTACTGTAATCCACCCTTCATCCCTTCTTTGCACTTCTTTCTCTGCTGGTTCAGACTCTCCCTGCTGGGCTGCTTCTATTATTTCCTTTTGATCTGTTTCTTTCTTTTCATTTGTTCCATTCCTGTCTGTTCTTAGCCACACTTGTTTGCCTATAGCTACTTTCCTTTGTTGGACCATTCTTTGTGGTTATTCCTTTTTTATCACAGCACAATCATGTCCTATTTTCAAATATTTAGAACAATATGTTGGTTCCCAATCATAGACTACCGCTTGTTGAATTAGTCTCCCTTTAGGGTCCTGTACTTTCACACTTCAAGGCAGAGGTCTAGTTATATCCATTTCAATTAACATTCGTGCATATGAGATCCTCATTGTCCCAGTGGTACATTCATCTGCATACACTGGGTTCCCCAAAATACTTCCTATCTTGCTTAGTGCTTTCATGCTCCAGCAATTAAGAGGCAAACTGGGAAACCTTACCCATAGTGGAATAGTCTTCAACACCTCATCATGTACTGTCACACCTCCTTTTTCGCTACTACACCCCGTGAAGGGTATAATAAAAGGAGTTTTTCCAATTAAAGGACAATCGAAACGGGTTTCGTTTTATTAAAAGATTCAGAGTCGCCACTCGGGAGATTTATGGTGTCCCAAGTCACCGGTTTGAATCCCGAATCGAGGAAAGGGTTTGATTCTGTATTACAGCCGCGAACCAAAAATCCGAGTAAGGAATTCTATTAACCCGGGAGAAGGGGTTAGGCACTCCCGAGTTCCGTAGTTCTAGCACGGTCTCTCAACTGCTATATTTGGCTAAGATATGATTTTTATACATGTTGAAACCTATAGTGCAATTTTAGAATTATTTACCACTTTTAGTCAATTTTAAAGAAAGTGAACGTCGTTTAAGAACGTGTTTTTGGATCACGTCACATGAAATGTACTCGGATCCTCGACACATTCTTATTCAACATTTTGGGATTTGGATTTGGGTCGCATGAGATGCACACCCATATTTAAGAAGGTAAAATTATTAAAAGCGCGCCTAAAGCGACTAACGAGTTATTATCTTTGTGGGAGGCCGTGAAATTCGCTAAACGGCACGCCCCGAATTCTAAGTATTTTAATATAAGCATTTAATGAGGGCCCCGCAATTTATATGTTTTGTTCGGCGAGGCTCGTCTCATTTTTATTTAAAAGTCGTCCTAGAGCTAACTACAATTTTCTATTTAAATTTGTCTCTAAAGAATCCTAGTTACTTAATATTATAAAATTCGGGCTTCAAGTTCAAGTCCGGATTCAAACAAAAGGGATAGACTTCTTAATTTGAACCCGCTACTTAACTCGAGAACCCACTTTTACAAATTAGTCTTAATGAACTTAAGGGAATTTAGCCTCCAGCACGTTTGGGCTTCGAAAAATTGGCCCAGGCTGCCAGGCCATTGGGCCTCAGCATCAGCCCAATAGTGAATATGCTCGTCTTAGGACTGCCAAGAAGAACCGCCAGCCAGTGGGCTTCGATGTCAGCCCACAAAATTGGTGAACACAAAGAGGCACAGATCATATGAGACATAAACATTGCTAAATTATTGATTTCTGAATGAAGCTATTAAATTGCTCAATTGGAATGACTTAGGGTTTCAGTTCAGTTGTAGTACTTCAAATTATGACACCAGCTATCAGATCGATTCTGGAATTGTTTAAAGCTCAAATAGTTACCAAATCCATACAACGGTATATAAGCTAACTATCAATTGCAACAACAAAGCCTACTAATTAACTTGATAATGACTCCTGAATTACACACTACAAACGATGCTCCTGTTAACTTCTTATAATAGCATTGATTACTCAGTTACTGATCACAGATGCACGTTTATGACCTCTACATCAGTTTCATACTCGAAAAATAATCGAATCAGAACTAATCCTAGATGACAATTATCAACCACAATTTCAGCAATCCAAAATCTGTCCAGATTAATTACAAAGCAGTTTCACACGATCCTAATTAATACAAAACAATATCGGATTCGAATTACATAATTATTCTATGCGTTTGAACTAAAAAAACAGAAAAAAAACTCAGAGATGAATCAAACAGCCATTTTATTGCTCAAACTCCCAAATCAATTCTACATCGATCCTTGGCATATTCTACAAGGCCAGAAGTGTACCTGAGATTTGGATCAAAATAAGTAGGAGGAAGAGATCAGCAACAGTAAGCGAAAATCAACAGGATCAGACAGCAGTTCACAGCAGGAGTAATTTTCGAATCAAAACAGCTTCTCAAAAGCCCAGGAATGAACTCAGAAATTGACAACCCAATAGATGACCAAAACACAGCTTAATTGAACCCACAAACACTCGAAATTAAACTAGGAACACTTTGAAAATCTCCACAATCAGATCTCGTACCAGAAGATGTAAAGTTATCACTACAGCTTGAGGTTCAACTGAAAATCTCAACAGGACAGTGTTTTTCTTTTGAGTTTTCTGTATTTTTTTTTTTTTTTGGTTTTTGGTTTTTGAAGGTCTAGATCTAGAGAATTTTTGAATTTGAAATTCAAATTTGAACTGATGAAGACTTGTGAAAGTGGGGGGAATTTTCGGAGCTTCAAAAACTTGTTCCTGAAGGCAAATAATCTGCCTTTTATAGGCAAACTTCAGGGGGGAAAGCTTCTAGATGTCCTTACCCTTTTTCCCCCTCTTTTATTTTCAGTTTTGCCCAAATAGTCCTAAAGTCCTGACTTGTTGCTTAAGCTACTTTTCTAAAAGTCCTGAAACTTACACTAAGACCCCCTTCTAGAAGGATCTAGGGTATTTTTCTACCTGTGGAATACCTGTATTACCCTTACTTGAGTTCTGAAATTACCAAGCCTCAACAAACTAACCCATTTTAAGTGCCTAAACTACCCCTGATTATCCCTGAAATTACTAACCTTATCTCAACTAAACCCCGACCCCTTTTTACCCTACCTTCATACTATCTGCTATAACCAATAATCTACTTAACCAGGGTTAAATTCAAGGTTCACAATCAAACAGTCCCCTAAAATCAAAACAGCTGAACAGATTAAACTAATGATGAAGTTAAACCTATCAATGGAATTCACTTGACAACTAAATCAAATTGCAGGGTTAAAACACAGAATCAAACTTATCGAATAGGCTTTAATTGCACATGAAAACTTAAAACTATTATCAATGAAGCAAAACACATTTAAACTAAACTACAACATGCTGAAACCCAAAATATAAAGCATTTAACCCTAACTAAATTAACAAATGAAACAATTATTATTATTGATTAAAAGAGGATCAAACCAATCCGAAGCAGGCCTACGCACTCAAACATTGGTTCAGATAAGTTGAGAACGAATAAAATCAAACTCTACATTACCTAATCAGAAAAGAAGACAGACATGAAGAAACAATTAACTTGGATAATGAAGAAAAGGTAAAGGAAACTTACTCATTAAAAACCCTAAGATTCTGCTCCCCATTTAATTTTAACAATCTATCAGTCCCGATGAGACTTGGGTGCTTCTGAGGATGAATCCGTCATGAAGAAAGTGAGGTTTGGGGAAACTTTAGGGTTTTGACCGGAGTTGATCTGATATTTGAGAAGCTCCGATAGGATTTGAGGGACGGAGTCTGGATGTTTGAGATGCAGGGGTGGAGGAGATACTAGGGTGTTCATATTGTGGGATTTGGAGGCGGCGCCGCCATATGTGGCGGAGATGAAAGTTAGGGTTTTGCAGATTTGGGGCGTTTGGTTGGGATTTGGAGGAAAACAATGCTGGATATGGGACGGGGAGATGAAGGAGATGACATGGTGTAAATTTGGGCAAGTTTGGTTGTTCTCTGCCGCCATGGGCGATTTTCGGCGGCGGAGCTAGGGCGGAGCCGGTGGGGACGGTGGGTACGAGGAAGAGAACCTTGGTCTTTAGGGTTGAATGATTTTTTTGGACAATTTTATTAAAAATCAAAGAATGGAATTGGACCGTTGGATTAGAGTGACGGATGGCCCGAATTCAATGACACGAGACGACGTCGTTTTGGTTTAGGGTGGTACTGGACCGGGTATAGGGGCGTTTGGGCCTGGGAATGGGGTGGTTTTGGGTTAAGACTAATGAATTAAAAACGACCCAATTTCGGGTCCTCATTGAGACAGCCCTCTTTTAATTGTTTTCTTTTATTTCTTTTTTTCTGTTTTCATTTTGTATTTATATTTTTCTGATTTTATTAAATACCAAATTCAAAAATAAAAACCCACATTGACTTCTAAAATTATTATTCAATTCCCAAATACACTAATTTCTAATTAAACACAAACTAAGACAAATTAAAACTAAAAATGCAAAAGGACCATTTTTTTATTTTCTTCTTTATAAAGTAACTCAATTAAT